AGGACCGGTGAAGCAGAGGACAGGGAGACGCGCCCAGGAACAAAGGGTGCAGGTGACCCACCAGCAGCAACGGCCGCTCGGTGCCTTGCTTCCACTGCGCGGGCCATGAGGGCGGTGCAGGGCAGCCCTGCAGCCCTGCTCCCGCCAACCGCACCGCAAACGCCCCGGCAGACACAGCTGCTGAGCCCGTTTCTTAAAGCAGCGCTATCTACTACTAGAGTGGCCAGCTTCGCAGACAGTCAGAAAGCTAGCCAGAAGCTCATTTTCTTTTTCTTCCAAGGCCCACCTTTCCCCTTAGCCTCTTCCCCACTCAGTGCTGCCTGTAACTGATGTGTGCCTCAAGAGGAAAAAGCAATCTCGCTGCAGACAGTCCAGCCCTGCTGTGATCACGTTCTTGCTGAAGCCACTGCAGAAGGTGGGTCTGCTGCAGGACACAGTCCCCGCCTCATGGCAGCTGCTGTGTGGCCTGTGCCTCCAAAGTGCCAGTTACTTCAGAGAGGCCCAGGTGCTTTGGCAGCAGTGAGAGAGCGCAAGATGCCACAGGAACACAGCGGGCTACTTAAGGTGGCTTTCTAAATACATGAGAAAAGAAAATGCAGGGGCCCATCCTGTGGGTCAGCGAGGAAAAGGCCCGACCTTTCTGTGCCTTAGTTTCCCTAAGAGGAAGCTGGACTGTAGAACATGGTATAAGCTGCTTCCCCACTAACACATTCTTTTCTCTCCTTTCTTTTGTTCACATTTCAACAGGCCAAGAAAAAAAAAAATGGCCACTGTAGGAAAACACATGCACGTCTCGCCCTTCCCCAAGTCACCCCTCACGCGCAGCCTGGAGGGCTCGCGGCGCAGGGGCAGTGCGCTGATGGGCGTAGCGTAAACATTTCAAGGATAAAACTGGGAGCAAAGTTCTCAACACACACAAAAGGGATCACACTAACTTTTGAGAAGCCGGTTGTGCTCTTTCTAGTGAACCTCTTTGGAAGTTAAGCTCAACGCGAGTCCCCCAAAGCAGTCTTTCCGGGGAGCGCCTGCTCACACAGGGCAGGTGAAACAGGAGGAAGGGCAAACGGAGGAGCCTTAGAGACTTCGAAAAAATTACACTGAGTGTTCCCACTGTCCATGAAAGTCACACTAATTTGAAACATTCAGTTCATTCTTACAACAGATTTAGAGACTTCTCGATTTGGTGACACATGCATTCTCAGGGTGCTGGCTCATTTTTTAAATCTGTCACGCCTCTGCACTCCCACTAAAAACGCTGTTGAGGTTTTAAGATTATGTCACCAAAATTTTCCCCCTTTAGCAGAGACAAGGAAAAGGCAGCAAGCTGCCCAGTAAGTCGCATCTGTTTCATCTCCACATTTTCCCACTCTATTGCGAGTTCAAAGTGATGCTCACAAGTTTAAGTTATTTCAAAAAGTTGGCAGCCTCGGTGTCTTCCAAAGGCACTGCCCCCACGTAGCAAGTAGCAGCACTGTTTAGGAGCCAGCCTGACATGGAAACGTCCAATTTGTGAAGATATTACAAATCAAGGCAAAGAGCCTTCTTCCTGCTAAATACAGGACCCGAAGCCAAGAGGCCAGCCCCTAAGAAGAAACTGAAGGAAATTTAGCGAGTTTTCACTCATCTAAATAATGGTCCCAGATCAGGGGATGTCACCGCCTTTGGAGAGGACCATCCAGGAAGACAGTCTCACTTCTTGCTCACTGAAGAACAAGCCCACCTTAGTACCTAACAGGATTTATCCGGAATAGCTTCACAAGAATCGGTTCTCAGCCCATGTCAATGCATTACATCTCAACACAAGAAACAGTATCCTAAGAGTCACAAAACACCAAATTTCACACACTGCAATTAAAATTGAAGGCCTTCAAGTGCCGATTTGTTAAAACAAAAACACAAAGCAACACAAAACACTCAACCCTAATTTCTTCACCTTTGTAGAAGACTCTAAAGTTGCTTTCACATTACAGTATTTACCTGGAAAAAATATTTTCAGTTGATAGACAGGAAAGGAAAGTTCTTCTCTGGTCCTATCGTTCTAGAGCGGTCTAGTTATCTGACCAGATATAAACGGTAAGCAAAGTCTCTCAGCACTCTGCCCTCTGTTTGGTGCTGGGGCAGGCAGCCCCCAGTCAAGAGCTGGGGCTCACTTTCTCTGCTTCCTACAAGCTGTGTCTCGGAGCAACGGACAGGATTTTCCCCAATTTTTCCATCTAAAATGTGGAGATAATCTACTGAAGGACAGAAAGAAAATGCACAAGGAGGCTAAAAGCTTCTGTTTGCATAACTATCTGGGAAGTTTGCATTCTTTAACTTTATACCATACCAAAAAAAGCAGGCACATACTATCTCTTACTTGTGAAACAGCTAACATGAATCAAACACTTCACGCTTCTTTCCCAGGACCTGCCAATACCATTACCTTTAGGGGAAAAGGAAACTCTAGGAAATTAATCATAAACAACAGATTTAAATCTCTTAGAATTAAAATAATTTCTTTCCGGGTCCTCCCTGGTGGCGTAAGGGGTTAGCACTATGAAGTGATCTAAAGCCATTGCCCCAGTTAGATGCCCTGACGGCAGTGACCCACACGGCACAGTAGGCCTTTCCTATTTCTCCCCCCTGCTCCCCTTGGCAGTGAAATTTAGTCAGTCTGCCTGTTCTGCCCTCCAGTCTCTGGTGAACCCCCACACCTTTGGCCTATACCCCAAGTTCCTGTATGCATAAATCTTTTTTTAAAAAATTAAAACAAATTCCCTCCAAATAAAAAATTTTCTAAGTTATAAGAAAAAAACTAAATTTTATTTATTTCAGGAAAGACACAGGAAATAGTTTCTTCTGAGCTAGCCACAAAGAAATTTACCTATTTTAGAATTAAAATACAGTATTTTTATTATATAAACTAATATAATTAACAATCCATTAGAAACAAATCGTATTATTATTTTCCCTGTTACACAAAACAAAAGCAACCTACACGTGGTATTTTTGTGCTATAACTATAATGATCAATTCTAGTGGTCACAGCTCAATCATTCAAGGCCTAACTTTCCATCTGAAAGATTTCCCTGCCTTGGGCAGCTCCAACTCCAGGCCTGCGCCCCCCGGGAAGCACAGCACAGGCGGCCAGCCATTCCCAGGGCCACCGGGTCGCGTGGGCCAGGCGGACAGTCTGGTCTGGTCAAATGGCCGTGGCCACCCAGAGGGGACCTACCAGCGAGGGCAGCACCACAAGAAAAACTATCTGTACTGGCCACAACACAGCAGTGCAGCCCGCCCTTCAGGACACAGTGTGGCTCGCTGCTGGATTGCTTTGGAGCAGAAAGAGCAAGACACAAGAACCAGAACACACAGAGGCCCAATCGCAGGCTTTAGAAAGGGAGTAAGGGTTGTTTCCCACAGATGGCAATTAAAAACCAAACCAAACTAAACAAAAACTGGAATTAAGGAGTCACTGAAAACTAGAGATCAGAGATTTTTTTGATGACAGTATTTCCACTCCTGCCTCAGGCATCACAGTTACAGGCAGAGCAAGGCTCTCACCCCAAGGCAAACAAAGTTTGTAACTAGCTGTTACGAAGACTCATGGTGGAGACCATTCCTCAGAGCACAAACAGCGAGCCACCATGGTGGACACCTGAAACTAACTGGGTCAAATGCACCTCAATTCAATAAAAACCAGGGGTGATGGGAGGCAAGACCCACAGCAAGATTTAGATCACCTAAGTCAAACAATTTAAACACACATGGCAGGATTTATATGCAGAAACAAGAAACAATGCTTGATGATGCTAACATGAGAATAACCACTGCCCACTCGTAATGACTAACCCTGCTACTCAGAGTAATGGAGACTCAGCCACTGCTACTTGTATCATTAGCTGTTCAGGCAGCCTCTCACCTTGGGTTTTCTTTCACCATGAGCCTCCCCAATTACCACATTAAAAAGCGCAGATACTCTTCTTTTAATCTTACAGAGAAAAAGACAACAGCATGAAAAGAATTTGTTTTAAAGGAGAAAAAGGTGAAAGAAACTTAAGTCTCCACAGAAAAGACATAATTTGCATTTTTTCATTCATTGCACCTGAATGAGTATCACTCCCCAGTTACTGATTTTTTCCCCTTTGTGGGCGTGACTCTGGACTTAAGCAAAACGCTGGTTATAGGTCAAACCCAAGGTCACAAATAATTAACACACAAATGTGAAAGAACCACACCAAACCGCAGAATCCTTGAAATTGGGGACTAGGCTTGGGATCTCAGCCACCGAGGCTGTTCTCTGCCCAGGGTGACAACTGTGAAGGGTCAAAATCTTTAACTGCATAAAAAAGGCTTTAAGGACAGACTTAACTTAGCAAGAGTATTCATTAAAGTTAGCTTCCTTCTCTCCCCCCCACCGCTGCCCAACATCCTCTGCAGTGCACCTCGTTAAACGCACTCTCTGGCGTTCTCAGGAAACCGAAGCTTCAGGAACTCTTTACCCACCACCTCCCTCTCCCTTCTACTCTGGATCCCTGGAGCTCTTTTGGAAGCTAAATGAAAAATGAAAAACAGAATATATATGTTTATCAAAATGCATAGTTTTCTTAAAGACATGGGAACTGAAGCAACAAATTATGCTTGACTTAAACACAATCAGCAGTTTGCAAACTATTAGAAAATAAGGTGTTTCTTATATAAGTTTACAAACTATTAGAAAATAAGTTGGCTCCTTATCAGATAGGGAATTCAACATTTGCAATGTTCCGTGAACTTTTACTAAATGCACATATTCCTACAGGTAGGAATTTGCATACACACCTATGCATGTATGTACACACCCTTGCTGGGAGAGAGTGCATAGTTTCTTCAAGGGTGGGGGGACCATGGCTCAAAAAAAAGGTTGAATGAACCACTGTGATCAAGTAAGATGAGTTTTACTTATCCATTTAATTACCGGGAAGAAATGGGGTTATTTCCCTCAAACAATGAAAGCAGCAGAAACTGACCACACTGCCTACCTCTGTGTCCCAGGAATCGTGAAAGACAGGGTTGCGACTACTCCTTTTGGTCTGGGGCGGGAGATGGTGGTCTTCTTCACTGCCATTCCTTCTCCTTTTCCTGAAATTAAAGGACAGGTGGGAGAGAAATCCAACACTTGATCTTCTGAACACTTAAACGCTAAACTGAGATGCAAATCTGCCATCACAGCTGAGAACACAACTCATCACAGGCAGACATCCGCCGGGTCCACCGTCGGACGCCATCACTGGGCACAAAGAGCAAAACGAAATAGCACCAGTGACGACAGCTTTCATGAGTGCAACTAACTTTTAAGAAGAATGCGGACCGTTTCAAAGCCTACGGGGAGTATGAGCAGGGCTCTTGACGAAGCTTCCAACCACCACCTAAGGCTTCTGCCTTTCCCTGGCTCCTGACATTACAATTCCAACTTAACTCATCCGATTCCCTTCCAGACCACGACACCTGGGACAGCGGTGACAGCCCTTCCAGTTCACACTTAATGCCATGCTAATACACGGTGAAGGTCTTCAGAGCAGAGCAGGGGCTCATGGTAGCTCTAGTCTCTAGTTTTCTTCCATTCCTGATTTTTCTGGACAATTTCTGGAACTGGTGGTCTTGGACATATTAACTCGACAATTCTGGCTGCACCACCCACTATTATGACAAGTCACTTCATAAGAGTTAAGGTTATAGCACAAGTTGCTTAAAAATTTCAGGTTTAAAGAAAAATCACACATCTTTCTCAGTCAAATGTTGTCAGGTGTGCAACAGACACAAAAACCATAAGTCTGTCTGCAGGAGTCATGTGCTGTCAGGACTTCAAGCCCCGAGTTAGGAAACAGAGCGATCACTTTCAGTCAAATTACCTGGAACTGTGCTGTCTGACATAGCAGCCAGCAGCCACAGGTAGTTACTCAAAATGAAAATTAAATAAAATTTAGGATCCACGTCCTTTGTCACACAGCCAACCATTCAGAGCTCAGTGGCCATGTGCAGCTAGTGGCTACTGTGCTGGCCAGTACAGGGAGCAGGTTTCTCACCACTGGAGAAAATTCTACTGGACCGTGCTTGCTAGAGACCAACCAACACAAAGCTGCATAATGAAAATTCTTGAAGGTTCAAACTTCTATAGCTAAGGAACAAATGACCAGTGGGAGAGAAAAACAGCCTTTTCTCTGAACTGGGAATGCACAGTACCTTTTCTAAAAAACCCTATGATTTCTATTTGAGCAGAGTGGATTACTGTGGCAGGTGCTTAGTCCTAAAATGTGAGTTGAAGTCTAAATACTGAAAAAACTCCCAAAGATCCCCCTGAGCTCAACTGCCTGTACTCAGAAACATTCTGAATGCCGCTAATTTTATTTATAAACATGGATCCCAGTTTAGGCTTGGCACAAAAAAGAGCGGGTGTGTCTTGTAGATAAAGCAGTCGCTGGCATGCAGAGGGATTACACCATCTACCTCATCCCCGATGTTATTTGTAAAGTCAGATCCTCCTTTTCGCTCCCTACCTTTCTCTGAGGAGATCAGATGTGATCTGCGCATTATGTTAAAGTACTTAGAGGTTAAAAGCCTAGACACAAGTTTTTAGTAATGACTAGACACACGCACTATTAGCACAGGCTTAAACCAAGAGAGGGCTAGTTTCACTCTTCTGGCCAGAGGGTGCCACAGCCCCGAGCAATGGCTGATGGGAGGCTGGTTGACACCCAAGTGAAACTCACCAAGTGGCAGTGTGGGTGCCTCCCCACTCTTATCAGGGCGCCAACAGCTGATTGGGCCTCACTCTACCCAAACTTTGGAGCCTCACCAAACTTCCCAATTCCTCAGTTACAACGGGCAACACAGCTTTCCTGCGGCAAGAGCAAGAAGGCCAAGGAGAATGCAGGCAGAGTCTAAGGGCGAGACGACTGGCCAGCGTGGCAGACTTTAATAAAGCTATGAAACGCCACATGAAATATGCCTCACAAGCAACTCATTTCTCCGGGTACCAGCACTGCCTCCTGGCCTACTGCGGCACCTCCCCCAGGTGGTACTAAAGGAGGAAGGACTGCTGCTCACTCGCCTTTCCCTAGGCTCTCTGCGGAGTCCATTCTGCTTTCAACAAATCGTTAGTAACTGGCGAGTCCCATCTGCACAACAGGTCCGATTATGGCGTGTGACATTAATGCGCCGTCCGGGTTATCACTTAGCAGCCGCCCAGTAACTGCTAAGTCTCCCCAGCCACCCATCTAGTCGCAGATTACATGTTGCCATCACTTATCTTTTCCTTTATCCCCTATCTTCCTGTCATCTCCAAGAAACTAGGCGTAGAGGAAACCCTGCAGTATGGTCACTGGTGGTTTTCTTTAAAAGCAGTGGCCCTTCTTCCCACCAAAAGAAAAATAAAATTTCCAAGAGAAGAGAGATAAAACATCAATTTTGGTTAAAGTAAGGGCTTTCTTACCACAGCCACCCCTCTCTGGCTTTCCCATAAAACATTTTGAACAGTTTTCCAATGAACAGTTTGAATAACAACCATTTTAAGTCAATCCTCCATCTGAAACCCAGGAGCAGATCCAGAATCATGAACTGCCTAGGAGATGCTGAAGTGTCCATCACACCATCAGACCTGGTCTCTCCCCTGCCAAGAAACGGGATAACGCGGAGAGCAGGTAGGACTCCCCTCTGCAAGCCTAAGGACCCTTTTTGTAGTGAGGAAAGTTACTAGCACCACCAAGTTCACATCACTTGTGCACTAGGTAGGTTCAGACTACTTGTGTACAGTCCTAGACACAAGCATCAATTTGTAAGAAACAGGTATTTTTCAGCTCTGGGAGCCATCCCGGAGACAGGCAGGGATATAAAATGGGTTTTGGTAGGAAACAGACAGCAGTGAGACCAGGCTCGCACTACCTAAGGATCTTTTCCTAATTCATCATTAAGGCCTGGTATTTCCTAATTATTTTCTAATTTGACTTGTTTTCTATACAAGGCTGTTCTGTGTCCCACTCGCTGCGTGACCCAAACCAATAATCCAATACAAAAGTTTGGAAAACCCTACTTTTCACTATGGGACCAAACCACCTCAAGCTATTTCCAAAATCCAAATCCCACAAATGAGCCACCCTCGAGACCTGGGTCCTTGTGGATGGACTGTCGGTTATGTCAGAGCCAGGGGAAACAAGCACAAGACCCAGCATAACCCAGCAAGGTGATACTATCTCATTCACGTAAGCTTCCTCGAGACTATCAGGACTAAGGGAAAGAGCACCGAACCTGGGGAGCCCCAAGTTCATCACCTGAGCTCTTGAAATCTGTTTCCTCCTCATCAGAAAAATCTAAGGGTTATTATTAGACTTGGTCACCTACAGGCTCCCACTGCAAACGCCACAGCGAGGGATTTTCCTATTCTGAAGCAAAGCTGCTCGAGCATCTTCAAGCTGGGGCACCCGATGGCAACTTCCTCCTCCCCACCTTCTTATAGGTGAAGGTAAAAAAAGAAAGAAATGGCAGCTGGGCCCGGACAGCACCCAGCACTAGTCAAACAAGCATTAAAAAAACACCCCGAGGTGTAGACGACGCGGCTCCGGGCCTGGCTCAGCCGCGCCACGACACGACCCCAGAGCCTGCCCGGGCGCCGAACGGCTCGGACACCAGGCAGTTGAGAATCCTGCGGGTTCTGGGGCTACAGTCGCTCTGGTCATCTGCCCTTCCGCGCTCACAAGCGTCCAGAGCACACTCCCGGTGTAGCCCAGCCCTGCCCCGCCGCAGGGGACAGCCCAGGCCGTCCTCTGACCTTGGGGACTCGCAGCCCCCGCCCCGTCCCCTCGCAGACGCCCCGAGGGCCCCCCCCACCCAGAGGCGCCCCGCCTCCCCTCCCCCACCCTCCTAAATTTAGGACGGGGAAGCTTCGGGGCCCCCGTCTCTCTTCCGGGACTAACCAGACTTCATTCCAAACAGGGAAAGCGGGGCAAGGCGGGGTGGGAGGGGCGACCCCGGCGCCTCCCAGTCCTCCCAGGGGACCCTCGGGGGCCAGGCGCCGGTCACTCGCGCATCCTCCGCACTCCTCTCCCGGGCCGCAGGCCACCCAGAGGGAGATCGGCGGGGCCGCCTCCGCTGACTCGGTCGCCGCTTCTCGCGCCCCCTCGGCTCCAGCGCCCACGACGGCGCGTCGGGCGAGGGGCTGGAGAGGCAGGAGGTCCCTGCGAGCTCACCTGGGGCGGAGGCGCTCGCTCATGGCAGCCGGTGGAGGGGAGCGACGCGACGCCGCTCCGCGGGAAGAGGGAACAGAGGCGGTGGTGTTTCGGCGGCCGCCACGCCCACCGCCTCGGGCCTTGGCTCTCGCCGCCGCTCTGGTGGACGCCGCCGGCGGTGAGTACCCCTCGGTGGGACCCGTACCACCGCTACTTCCGGCGTCTGCTCCGCGCCCCCCCATGTCGCAGTCGCCGTGGTACCGCCCTCTCGCGGCTGCGCAGTGGCGCGGTCTGGACCGCGCCGACCGCTAACCCCGCCTACGGGAAGAGGCTGGCTCGGAGGGGGAGGAGCGACTAGGGGGTCCTGACAGAGAGGGCCTCCCTAGAGGTGGCTAGGGCTTTCGCCTGTTCGCTCACAATCAGGGCCCATGTAAAAAATCAAGTTAGGTTTCAATTAAATGGAGTCACATAAGCATAACGTGATACCGTGCTTGAGTTAAAGTCCTGAGAGCTAACAATAATTTTTTTAAATAGGTGAGAACTACCAGGCAGTGGCACAGACGGCCTGCGGCGGGTCCCGGGACTGGGAGTTGGGAAGTGGCCCGTGGGCCGCGCTGAGGGTTACGTCGCGGGGGCTTTTTGAGCTCTTTAATTTTGCGAGGTGAGATCGGGGCGGTGGGTGAATCGAGACGCCCCGATAGTGTCCAGTGACCCACGCCCTGCGTCTGGGGGCGACCGCTCTGCGGTCAGGGGAGAGTGTCGAGGGGCGGACCCGGGCCGGGCCGGGGGCACCCCGGGACCGCGGTGAGCCCCCTCAGCGTCCCATCGGCTGCTGCTGGGGCTGCGGGACCCGAGCCGGAGCGCCGCCCGCGTTCCTGCCCACCCCGCTGGGAGCGGCTGGGCGGCTTCCAGAACTCGGGAGGGAGCGGGGAGAGGGCGTGCGAGGTACTGCAGCGGAGAAGTCCGCAGGGGAGCGCCGGAGGTGAGGGCGAGGATTGGCTCCGCGGAGACGGGGGCTGTGCCCAGGGGCTAGCGAGGTCTTAACTCTCCGCTTTCCGGAGCCTCCGCGGGGAACTGCCCTGCTGGTAGCCTGGTTATTCGTCCCTGTGCCACATTTTTTTCAATGTGTGTGTCGTCGAGTTACTTTTCTGTGTCTTGCGCAGGCTGGCATCAAAATCGAGAAATGCGATCGTGAGGCATGGAGATTCAGGAGGAACAACTGCAAGATTAGCATCCCCGAGGGGTTCGGATAAGAAAGAGTTAGACAACCGCGATCAGATGTTATCTCAGGGTACCGAGGTCCTTCCGGTGAGATTAAATGACGAGGGTTGTAGGGTTCCCCCTCCCCTACCCCGCGGCACCTAGCGGAAGTCTCAAGTTTAATAGGGTCAGTGAACTGGCTTCTGTTGAATGCATTTTTCGAAATAAATGGTCCATAGCTTTGAACTTTATTGTCAAAAGGGTACTGCCGGTATTCCTGTATTCTGTTAGCTGAACACTTGTTTTACTTGACTTCACTTGATTTTACTTGACTTATTAATGGGCTGCACAGGGTTATAGCTTTTTATTTTGTAGATAGTTCAAAGTTTGATTTTTTGGACCTACTTAGTGGTTAGAAATATTTATAGCCACAGTCCTTTATAATATTTTCACGTTTATACCGAGAGAATTCATACAACAAACATGTACCAGGCTAAGCGCTAGGTTTTGAGAATGTAGCGGTGCATGGGATATACACGGTCCCTGCCCTCTGGAACGTTATAGACAAGAATGAGAAATGTAAAAAGAAATAATAACTTGAAGCTAATTTTATGATTAAATGTTTTCTGCTCCTGAACTGAGTGGATGTATTATTTGTGTGATATAGTCCCTTTTATGTGTGTTACCAGTACATTTAGTGTACATTAAGTTTCGACTCTCATGCTTAGATAATCGAAGTTCTCATATTCTTGCCCAACGGATCTGCCATACATCACTTTGAAAACCACTAATCAGCAACCATGGAGTCCCCCTTGAGTTTTTTTTTTTTTTTTTAAGGTTTTTTTTATTTGTGCATACAGAACTGGGGTACAGGCCAGAGGCTGAGGGGCGGCGAGAGGCTTCACCAGAGACAGAGTGGGGAGCAGAACAGGCAGAGCGAAGGAGTACACTGCTGAGGGGAGCAGCGGGTGGGCCAGGAGAGGTCTGCCGCGCCATGTGGTCACCTCCGGGGCAGGCGGGGATTGAACCCATGCGGAAGTGGCTTTAGTTTCTCAGTGCTGTGCTTTAACCCGCTGCGCCACCAGGGACGGCCCCCCTTGAGTTTTTTATTCTTTACTTTCATTCGTCTTTCCTTGAATATTATTAGGGATTTTTCAGAGATTTTTTTTTATACAGTTGACATCACACGACCTGAAATAGCAAGCATTCTATTCTGAGTGGTATTTCCGACAGCTTTTCCATCTGCTATTAATTTTGTGGACTTGTGTCTTGGGCTTGCCTAAGACTTTGTGTTTTGTAATGATTGAGTCCCAAAGGACTTATAAACTACCAAGCATATATATAGCCAGGAAGATTTTTCATAAAATTAAACTCTGTCTTCTATTTTCTACACCTAACAAAGAAAATGGAGCAAAACAGAGTTGTAAATTTTCCTTCAACATAGTTTCTTCTGATGAATTTTACAGAAAAATATTAGTGCTTACTATGTAAGTGTGTGGTATTTACTCATCATCTCAATTCACCTTTTTCAGGAATAGGAGAGTGAGGTTCCACCCAGAATGGAAGTATGTCCTTATTGTATGAAGCCATTTAAACGATTAAAGTCTCACTTGCCATACTGTAAGCTGGCACCTGCTGATCACGTTTCTCAGTCCAAACCAGCCACACCCCCACGTGCCAAGAAAAACAAAACAGCAGTCAAAGACGTGAAAAAGAAAGAGATTGCATTGGGAACTGAGATTGGGGAAAGAAATCCTAGGTTTTTAAGGAACAAACCAGAAGGTGCAATTAAGTCCTTACCACTACAAGATGCTGGTTTGGGAAAAACAAGTAATACAAAATCAGACGAAGACACCAAGAATCAAATTCAGCTCTCCCTCAAAATATTAGAAAATTCTGACCTGACTGTCACTTTTCAGGGAGAAACCAAGGCTCAGTTGTATACATCAGAGAACACTATTCCTGAAAGAGAACTAGCCAACGATGTGCCTAAGTCAGGGCACAGCAGCAGTCCAGTAACTGAAGTGTCTTTATCTCTTGACCCAATGAAACCTTTGTCCTCAAATCAAGATAGAAAATATCCTTCAGCCTTACCTGATGATGTACAGTCCATTTCTGCCAATTTACATCTGGACGAAGTCCATCCCCCAAGCAAGAAACATATAGTAAAATTACTAGAAAAGCCTGTTATTGATTGTAATTCTCCCACTGTTCTCAGTAACGGGGTTAAGAGTGTAAGATCATCATTGTTCAACAAACAGAGAGAGCCCAAGCTCAGAGAGCACCTTTCGGACATCTCTGACATCAGAGCCTCTGAGCCTCAGGAAGAGAACGTGGAATCACAAATGTTGGGTTTTAAAATTAACCCATTAGGTAAAAGCCAATACAAGGAGAACCAGAGAGTAAGTGGGAGCACAGAAAGTGCAGAGAAAAGTCTACGTGTGACGGAAATGCAAGACTGGGTCTCTGTGAATGACAACACCAGCTTCATTACCTGTGATTCAGCCACAAGGAAGAAGTCTGGAGATGAGGGTCCCAGTTTCAAGGTGTTTGTGCCAAGGGAAACAACTTGCAATGAGTTTCTTTCTGTATCACAGTCACGTAATCAAAGTCTTGTCTCTCTGGCTATAAAATGTCTTCAGGAAGAGAAAACAGAAGCCTGCAGTCATAACCGAGTCCCTGACGTAAGAGCACTGATAAAGAGTGAGGATCAGAACTCTCTGGAATCCAGATCTGGCGCCTGGTTCCCAGCCTCACACCCCAGGTGCCGGCAGCAGTCTTTATATCCGGCCCAGCATCTCCCTTGTCTGGTGGATGACGTTGCCCACAGAAAGACCCTGTGTAGCTCCCTGGGGCTGGAGTGGTTTCCAGAGCTCTATCCTGCTTATCTTGGACTAGGGGTGTTGCCCGGGAAGCCTCAGTTTCGGACTCTAATGGCCTTGAAGCCTCAGCTCATCAGTCCCCGGGGAGAGAGCCTCTCACAAGGTAAACAAGCTCATTGTCAAGCCCATCTCAGCCACTCTGCTCTGTGAGGTAGTGAGATCCAGAAACTGCTAGTTTTGCCATTTAGCTTATCCTTCCTGAGGTTTGGGACACCCACACCTACTCGTTACTGTAAGTCACTGGACTTGTGATTGAAAATGGCTTCTTGCTCGACCAGGACAAACTGGCCGATGATGGTGTGACAGTTGAATTCTACTTTGGGGCCAACAGAAATTGGTGGGAGCTAGTCTCACTCAGGAAAAGCATAAGGCTTTCAAGGCCCACTTAGAACAAGCATTGTGCAGATTTCAGTCAGGACCGGTTTGTACATGAGACCAGTTTATGGTCAGAGAATGTCCCAGTAGAAGCTATTTTTGGCTGGATCAAAACTACGCAAGGACGAGTGGCCTTGGGCAGGCAAGGCGGTAAGTGAAAGTGGAGCTTTAGGAGAGGAACCAGTGAAGGTCAAGGACCAGGAGTGGAGGGTGTGGTAAAGGGGATAAAAGTCCATGCACTAGAAAATGCAGCTCGCAGAGAATGGAAACCAAGAAGGGAGCCAGTGAATGAGCCTTAAGACAGGCGACTCGGGGAGAGACCTGACTGACATCAAAGCTGACCTGGATTGCGAATCAGATGTTCCTTGGCTAGTCTCAAGGACAACTCACCCTGAGGCCCACGTAGGAACCAAGTTCCTGTCAGGCCTTTCAGGTGTCCTCCCTCTAGCCGGTGGACTATCCTGTGGTTACGACGCGCAGGTTCTTCCTGTTCCTCTCCAGGAAGCGTAGGGACCCTGCAAGGTGGCGTCCTTCCTGCTCGTGTGCATGTCCACTCTGCTCTCAGGCTTAGTGTGACCACAGAGCTGTAGCAATGCAGAATAGGTTTGTGCCTGAGAATTTTCTTATCTCCTTCCAAAGGGATATGTTTCCCCCCTGGGGTATGTTTTGTAAGCAGTCACTTATTCGTTGAACCCCAATTTCTGTGGCTTGTGTTTCCCTTAGTGGTGGTTTCAGGATAGCAGTACCAGGTAAAGCCGCAGCACTACCCGCAGTCAGTTGCCAACCGCCTTGCTAGTTACCTCTTCTCCTACAGACTGGGCTGGTATTTAGGCTCTTGACCAAGTCGTGGCCCCCAGGTCAGAGTTGGCGTCGGGGATGCTGTCCTGTGCAGGGAAACCTGAAATAGCAGCTGGTCCTCAGACCCTGAGTGAGTGACCGGGGAAGTAGGCAGCGCCCTGGCTTTGAGGCACACCCGTGGCCACGTCTGGGTGAAGCAGGGTAGAACTGGAGTCCGTGGGGCTAGTGCTGGGTGGCCTGGCGGGGAGATCGCTAGGCTGGCTGACAGCTGAGGCAGGCGTTTGTAGTCAGGAGTGAGTGCCAGCCTTCAGGAATTCAGAGCTGCCTTAGCGGCCATCTTTTGAGGTGTGGAGAAGGACTTTCTTGAACTTTGTACCAAAAGGAGTTGTTCTCCTGGTATTTGAGAAAGTAGATTTTAGACATTCAAGAGTCAACTCTAGAGACTCAGCAGCACCAACGTGGAGGACTCCTGGGGAAAGGCCCCCTGCGGTCCCTCAGTCTTGAGAGCTCTGTGAGAGCCCTTGGCCGCCTTGTCAGGACCCAGGAAGCCTTGGTTTCAGGGATTCAGAGCTTGAGATCTAGGCCTTCAGTTCCCGGATCTGGAACTGAATCACTTGGTAATTTATTGGCAAGGCCTAGGTCCCGGGGGTTGACTCTGAGGTAACGTGTGGGAGTCCCCTTCAGATGTTTCCTAGTGCAGCCAAGTCTGAGGAGTGGCGTCGTGGGTAATAACAATGGACCGGGTACCTCAGACCCAACAGGGGAATGTCTCAAGCAAATGTTAAGGGAAGGAGTAGTGGCTTTGAAAAACAGTGTAAGGAACTCCAGAAAGCAAAACTTGGCTCATGAAGATAGCAGGGGTGAAGTGCACAAACCTCATGGGGTCGTGGGCTTGGGAGCCAAGAAACAGCTAAGTAGAAGCTCTGACCTTCAGACAGCAGGGTGGACAGGGTGGTTGGGTATGGCTGTCGTTCCGGTGTGAGCGATGTGGCCTGTGCGGGAGAGGCTGGGAAGCGGGCGGATGTGAGCCGCATGTGGCAGCCAGGATTAGGTCCTCTGTCAGCCAGCAGAGCGGCAGAAGGGAAGTGTGAGGAAGAGCACGTCAGCTGTTAGTGGCCTCGGCTGGGTTAAGCCCAGGGATAACACTGGAGTCCACACTTGGGGGGAGGGGCTGGAGCTGTGAGGGTCTCTGGGGTGCTGAGGGGGCAGGCGCACAGCTGAGCAGTGGGGCAGGGCCTTGTCACTGGAGGGTTGATCTTGCTGCTGGGTTTGAAACCGAGGCTGTTCCTGGCAGGTAAAGGACAGAGTCTGGGGCGCAGAGGCCTGGCGGTGGGCTCCAGCCAGCCCAGAGGGGGTGTGGGTCAGAACCCAGAGTGCCTGGCTAGCAGGCATGAAGGCCATGAGGGCCTTAAACAGCACTTCCAGGGGCTCCGAGCCGGCCTGTCCTGCACTTAGCAAGCCTGCTCAGCGCCTGGCCTGATGTCCTGCGGGAAACCTTGAGCGTAGGGCCAGTGGGCCTGCGGCTGGAGAAAGGACCGTGAGGCGCTGCGCAGTCCTGGCACTGCTGAGGAGGTGGTGGTTCAGATGCAGGTTTCATGAGGTGGTTTCTCCCCATCTTTTCCCTCAAGTTTTTTCCTGAATTCTATCAGGATTTGTTTGCTGAGACTAACTTTACCTTGCAAGAGGATTGTTTCCTGCTGTGACTTCTCAGTGGTCAACACCAATCTCATGGTCAGGGACTCCAGTGCACACTTGGATGACATTTTTACGTCCACAGCTTTTACCACACCCGCTAAGCCTGTTGTGAGCATTTGCTCACTGTCTCCTGTGTCCTGGTGCTGCCTGCCTGGCAGGGACAGACAGGAGGATGCAGGGAGAACGGGAGTGAGTGGCACGGCCCTGCCCCGGCTTGCCTTCAGTCCTGCGCCAAGTATCACTGAGACTTGCTGGGCAGCAGAAGCTTGGCTGTAGCCGGGACTGGACCAGGTGGTGGCCAGCAGCGGTAGTTCTCGGTGGTATAAAATGCTTCTTGCTAAAAGGTTCAGCAGATGATAGAAAATGGCAATTCAGATAAGAAATGTAGGGGGGTCTGACTCCAGGGGCTTCCCGGGAAGTCCTGCTGAAGAGCCTGTTTGTGTATTTGACGCTTGACCGGAGTAGACTGGAAGGCAGCGAGCGGTAGCCCGGCGCAGCTGAGTCCGCCTGTTTTCAGATACACGATACACTTCTGAGGGAGCCCTCGGAGCCCTTCGGCGCTGGTTGCTGGGGAGGGGGTGAATTTAGATCCCGTCAGTGACTTCTGCTTGGAACCGTAGTTCCCTTGGTGGAAAGAAGTTCGGCTGCTGTGAGGAGTTTGGAGCCCCCGACCAGGCTTACAACCGCCGGCTTCTCTCTAATGAGGCTCTTGGGAGCTGTGCAGAAAGGTGAGGCCGGAGTCAGGGGCGGGTTCCCGCGCTGCTTGTGAGCATCTGAAGGCATGCCTCTTCTCTTACTAACCGGCTTGACTGTCGGGGCGAGGCTAAAGGGAAGGCACGACTCTGGTCTTCCTGCTCTCCGGTTGTCTGTCTTTGTTCTGGCGTCTGACACAATTGAAAGATACTGAGGATAGCAGCGCCTATTGCTGGCAGCTTCCATTTTGCATACTTGTGCCTGCCTCTCTGCCCTTCGCCAGTGGTCGTCCCAATCCAGGAAGACTTGAAGCTGCTATTCATCTCCCCACTTAAGATTTTGGCCAGAGCCCTCCCTGGTGGCGCAACAGGTTGAAGCACAGCACTGTGAAGCCGTCAGCAGCCACTGCAGCACGAGTTCGATCCCCAGCCAGGGAGTGACCCACAGAGCGCCCAGACCTCTCCTGCCTCCCCGCTGTTCCCTTCTGCAGTTACTTCATTGATCTGCCTGCTCTGCTCCTTGCTCTGTCTCTGGTGAATCCTCTCACTCCCTGCACCTGTGGCCTGCAACCTGTTCTGCATGCATAAATAAAATCTTTTAAAAAAATTTGGCCAAACTCCCCAAAAGAAGAGTAACTTAGATGTATTGGAATCAAGGTCTTTTGGGTTTTAATTCTGAATTGTTCCATTCTAGACATATCTAAATGTAGTGGTATGTAAATTCTCTGACTTAGAGTTCCGCTGCCCAAGCTGGCCAGATGTGGGGTGGCGGGCAGGCCAGGGCCGTGGCTCCCTGGCCGTGACGGCACCCCCGCTTCTCCGACAGGCTGGATCCAGTGCCGCACCACTGTGAGGAGCGGAGTCGGCGGCCTCACCATGCTCGTCTCGGGCTGCTTCGTCCTCTGCTGTCGCTGGAGCTTCAGGCATCTGAGTGAGTCTTCCTGTAGTCCAGCCCGAGCACAGTCACCTGTCATGGGGGGAGGTGTCATGGCGGGAGGCCTCTGCACTCCAGTTTTGCAGCATCGGACCCCGAGGCTCAGGGGACTCTTAGTGGCCTGGGTTGCACTGGCCTTTGCAAGCTCTGACTAGAGTTCCCGTACCTGCCCTGTGTCCCTGGGGGTCTTCATCCCCCTCAGCCCTCCGCCCTGGGAGGTCAGGGCTCTCTCCTGGGTAACTGCTCGGCCCCTACCCCAGAACCTCTGTTCCGGATTAGAACAAGCCGCTTTAACCCCGCTGGGAGCCGCAGCTCGCCCCTGTGCCACGGCCTGGCGCCTTCTCGCCCGCCTACTTCTGGCATCTGAGAAATGCGCACTCCTGGTGGCAACTGTAGCTTCCCCCATCATGTCGGGAGGAAGATGCCTGGATTTCATGACTGTTGCTTATTTTTTTAACGTGTTATTTTATAAAAAGAAAGTTAAAAAAAATTAAAGCTGTTCTTAGAGAAGATCAAAGACCCAGTAATTTTCCATTTCCAAAATACAAGATAGCTGTTAACAGGGTAAAGGCCGGTAACTCTCAGACCTAGTAAGGCTCCTGAAACAGAAGATTTGACGCCGCTTGAATTGTATGGCCAGTTCAGTGATGGGGACAGGTTCGCGAACAGCAGGGGCCGCGGCCAAGCCCTGCTTTGTGTCTCTGGCACACCCCTGACAGGGCTGGGGGAGGGGAATGCCCACGTGAACCAGGACCCCCAGAACCAGGAGTTGTTTACTTCCCGGAGAACAGGGGCTCCCTCACAGAATAGCCTGTCTAAAACAAGCCTCTTGCTGCTACCTGAGGTGGTTTCTCACCTTTCTAAACTGAGGCTGAAAAAAGGTGACACAGAAACATCTCATCGTGCCTAAAACTCTAGATTGATGAAACAAAAGTGTAACGCAGTGATCTGCAGATGTGGGACGGAACCGTCCGTGGAGGTGGCCTGTGGGTCCTTACGATTCTCTCTCTATCCAAAGAGCTGCAGCGCTGGCGTAAGTAATGCTGACCTGGACACCACTCAGGAGCGTCCTGGAACTCCCAAGGAGGACGGTGGGGACAGCTGCGGGACACTTGACTATTTAAAGTTGCGTTTGGGGCAGGGAGAGGCAGCGAAAAGAATAACATTATCGGAATCAAATCATTACATAGAAAATCACTTTTTTACCGTGGACAAATCTGGTTCCATCTGGAAATGCCTTTGGGTTGATCTCAGAAGTGAGTGACAGTGAAAAAAAGGTGGCTGTTGCCCCATGAGACATGAAGATGACCAAGTTTCTCATCAGAATTCTTAAATAGTTGCTTCCTGCTTTTTCAGTAAAAACTATTTTAAACCTTTCTCCCTACAGTTGTTCTTCTCAGCCTGGGCACTGACTGTTCCTCCCTACTAGGAATGGACTAAGCATGCCTGATGCAGACTGGCATCGGGGTGGCAAAAACTAGCGAGCCGGCTAATGAGCCGGCTGGTGAGGCTGTTCAGGTCTTTGACCAGGTCTCCCCGCACAGCAGTGGGAACAGTAGGCGCCTGTGGAGCTGCAGCTGAGCCGGGGGCGGGGGGGGGGTCGTCGGTATTTGAGGCTCCACAGAATCCTCCCCGCTGCCACGGAGCACAGGGGATGCGCGGTGCCGAGCGCCCCGGTGTGTCCGCTCCCGAGCACCCCAGAGCCCTACCCTTCCCGAGAAGTCAGGGCCTACTTAGAGATCCCTTTCACTGTCAGGACTCCTGGGCTGCTCCTCTGTTTCTTCCTGTTAAAAATACTCACGTTTTTCGAATTTGATGACTTCTGCTGTGGCCTCTTGGGTGCCAGCCGGAAGAAGCTTCAGGATGTTTTAGCTAGCACAGCTGTGGCTTTCTCCAGTGCCGGGTTGGTGCCATGTCTAGATGTGCCTGAACCCCTCCACCCTACCTCTGCCTGGGATGTCGTGCCCCCCCAAAATGAGGTCAGCCCCTCTTTTCTCCTTCAAAATGACAAGAAAGCAGGTTTGCTCCTGAAAGATCAACATTTGTTTACACACACCTCTCAGCGTTTGAATTCTGAGTCTTCTGTTTATCTGTGTTTCCTCACTCCCCTCTCCTCTGCCCTCTAATTACCCCAAGTGGGAATTATTTAATGCTGAAACATTCTTAGGGCTAAGGAAGAGGTTTCAGAAGTACGCCCCGGGCCTCGGACCGTCCCCAGGATGAAGTCGGTGGTGGAGGGAAGGAGCGCTCTAGCTGGTTGTGTCAGTTTACTGTGGCTGAGAACCCCCACACTTCTGAGACAGCGCCTTAGGGGGCTTAGGGGGAGCCCTTCCCCTTCGTCCCTGCTCCCGCTCAGAAACTCAGGGTTCAAGGTCAGCCAGGATGACTTCCCAACGCTGTCCCCTCCCAGCGCCCCAGCCTTCTGAGGAGGGGCCTGTGTGCTCTGGCCGCCCACCCTCCGGCCAGTCACGAGGTCTGTGTGGTCCCGTAGGTCACGTGTGGTCTGTGGCTGCTGCCCCGGCAGGGCCAGGACAGGGCAGTGGCAGCCAAAACCTTAAGACCGGAGAAGCTGAAAATACCTGCCGTCCAGAAAGAGCTTCCCTGCCCTGGGGGACGTGGCCTCTCTGCGGAGATGAAGACTGGGCGGTCGCTGCTCTACACCTTGGGTTGGGGGCATTCCGGTCAGGGGACCCTTTCTCCAGTTCGTACCTGAGTGGCTCAGTGGCCCGCGAGCTTCCTGTAACTAAGCACAGCCGGGGCACCAAGGGCAGCTTCCCCACCACCCCGATTTTCTCAACATTTTCTCAACATTTTTATAAACCGGCGTCTGTCACCTGCCATCAGAACGCTGAAACCTTGAAAAGCTTTGATTCCTTACACAGTGAGACATCTCTGGACCTCAGTCCCTGAGCGAGGACGAGCTGCTGAATGACGCCTCGGTGCCGCGGGGAACCGCCCCACGCCCAAGACCGAGGCGGAAGGACCCTCCGTCACTAAGGGCACCGTGAGGCAGCAGTGGGCAGCTGATGCCCGCCCTGGCTTCAGAGCTAACAGATCCGGCCTGGTGGAGGAGCCCATCAGCGGGGACGCGCCTGAGGAAACCGGCCTCGCCAACTGGCGTCGTGCGGACAGAGGCTCGCAGCGCCCCGCCTCACTCACGGCCGGACCCACACGTGTGTGCGCTGCAGATGGCAGCCGAGTCTGAAGTTGGCATCGCAGATGGGAGCCTGCAGAGGCTGCTGTCTGTCACGAAGCCTCTGGGAAGAGGTCAGAGACGCCCTGACGTGATTTCCCATTTTAAACCGCCACCTCCATTCTGCCTTCAGTCGCGCCCACAGCCGGCAGGGCGCACCCCCTGGCAGGGCAGCGGTGCTTACATGTCACTAACAGAGCAGCAACTCGAGTCCCTCAAAGTCCAAAGGCAGCATCCATGGGCACCAGCTCGAGGCCCTGCCAGCGGGCAGCCCTTCTCTGCTTCAACCTGCTGCACCGGACCACGGCCCCCCTGCCCCCCCGCCCCCCCCCGCCTTTGAGAGCACCTGCACCGAAGGTTCCGGGTGAAGGTGGGAGTACTCGTGGGCCTGCCCGAACACCTCGGCACCAGCTCGCATGCTGTGACAGGTGGTTTCTCCCGCCACGGCCAACGTGTCATCCTGGGCATGATGCTGAAGTACTGACTGTGCGGGAGGTTAGGCTTTTTCTAACAGACATTAAAATACATATCTATTAAAAATAGCATTCTGTTACCAGCAACTAACGCTCACTATGGAAGCCCCTTGCGCAGTCACTGCTCTCAGGCCTCCCGACTGGCGGGTTCCTGCTTATTCTCAACCCTGCACATACGCATCTCACCACTCTCCAAAACGGAAGGTGCCCTCCCGGTAAAACGTGTTCCTCCACCCTGATGGTTTGCTCTCCCGGAACCTCGCCTGTCACACAGGTGGGCACTGCCCTCGGGCAAGGTGTCCAGCCTACTGGAGACCCCTGGTCTAAGCTGTACCCTGGGGATAATGTCACCCACTTGGGGGTGCGGCAGGAAATCTGCACAGAATCAGCAAAGACTCGTGAGCCCCACAAGTCTGACACTGTAGGAATTAAATCATAGCAGCCCTTCCAGAACCCCTCTGGCCGCCCGCTAAGCTCAGATCCTCAACCTGGGCGAGGCCAGAGACACCCCACTACGGCCCACTGACGCCCAGCCAGGCGCTCAGGCCGGTGCTGGGCAGGACTCTCGCCACATCCTTGTGACCCCCGTGGGGGTGCTGTTCTCACGCCCGATCTCCCAAACCCCCAAATCTCTGTTCTGTCCCTCATTTCTTCAGAAGACTCAGCTTCCTCTCCCCCACGAGTCAGTGGCTCTGAGTTGTCCAGTAAATAGACAGCCTGGCCTGAAACATCGTGTCTGCCTTACCTGCCGGGGGCCCGCCCACCTGCCTCCCCATGACTCCCCACAGCAGGCCTGCACTGAGTACGTTTGGAAATATAAGGGGGTGGTACAGGAAAGCAGCTGGTGTGCTAAAGAAAAACCGTTTTGATTTAATCGCCAGCTGAGAGGCATGGGGCCACCCGCAGGGAGAGGCCTCATGTTGCCAGCTCCTCTCAGCCACGTGAGAGCATTTCCTGCTTGCTCCAACTTTGGGGTGTCGGTGCATTCCCCACCACCACACCCCCTGTGCTAGGAGCGACCCATGCCTGCCACAGGCAATATTATCAGTAGCTTGTTCATTTCCAGGACGATGCAAAATCAAGCTCAGAGCCAAGGCTGCGTCTGTACCTCACATCCTGTTGGGCTGGCAGTGGGCGTCCTGGGGTGCTGGGAGCAGTCTCTGGAGAAGGGCCATTGGGGGTTAGGGGTGTCACCAGCTCTCCCAGTACCCCGACAGGCCAGGGCTCACTTTCTGCTAAATTCCAACCAGCTGAGGCTTGCTGCACGTACTGGCACAGTGACACACCTTTCCACACTAAAAGACAAAAGGCGAATGGCGTGATTTTTTGTCAAAGTCAGATCCCAAGGTCCCCAAAGCCTAAATTGCCTAGGGAACCACAGGAGGTAATGGCTGGCCTTCTGGGGAGCTGGAGGGAATCTGTTCACACGTGAGCCTCATTTCAGGCTGAGCACGACCCTGAGAAGTAAGCAGGGCAGCAGTCTCCCAGAGAACAGACGCTTTCTGGGTGTTCAAAGGTCAGAAAAGCCAGCGTGCAAGAAAGACTTCTGCTCCCTGAACACTCCTGACACTGCTCTGCTCTCGCAGAACAAAGTGAAAGTTGAGAACATTTCACAGGTTATGTCATGTAGGTTTGTGAAGACATGACTTTCTTCCTCATAAACCAGAAGCAACAAAAAGCCCCCACACTGCCTTCCCTTCCTGCCAAACTGCCCTGCCCCCAGACGAAGGACATTTTGTTGAAAAAGCTCAGAATTAGTAGGCAGCAAAATAAATGGAAGCTGTTTGCCTCACTAGCCTTTTAACGTGATAAGTGCTCTTGTCTGGCAGGTTGTTGAGACTTTGCAGCTGTGACATATGGTCACCAGTACGTGCCATTGTCCCTTAATTCACACCCTTAAGCCCCAGTAGGGTTTCCCATCTGTTACCAAAAAGCAGTCAACTTTCTCCAGCTCGCCACCTGCCCGCCCCCTCTCAGCAGCGGGCCAGCCCCTGGCTCTGACTCACGTGGTAGCAGAGACATTGCTCTGGGCCCTGAGTCCCTGGCAGGGCAGTGGGGACTCTCACAGCTTCCTCTGGGGACAGGGCAGCGTGTGCTCTGCAGAAGCAAGAGGTGCTAAGCCCGGTGGCCAGCTGACAGACTGCAAGAAAAGGTGCGGAGACAGCCACTGCCGGCGATCCCTCTGCCGACCTGGCTGCTTGACGCCAAGGCTGGGCTCTGGATGGGCACTCAGGCGGACGCCAGTTCTGAAATGCCTTTATCTAGAGTCTCCCTTGCAGAAACCACCCTTGTCCTGTAAAAAATGGGCTCGCGAATTTCCATCTTAGCAAATGTATATCCCACTCTGAGCCAGCAGGGGCGCCCTCCCCTGCACTCCCGCGGCTGCAGGGCTTTGAGCTCCTGGACAGTGCAGAGCCCGCAGCCCTGGGGGGCCACTTTGGGCCTCGGACTTCAAGGCCAGTCGGTACTCAGCCCTGCAGACCCGGAGGCAGCAGACTCTGCAGAAAACTAGTCGGTATTCTCTACTTTGTGGGCAAACGTGATTCAGTTGGGGCTACTGAGTGCTGTTACAGGGAGGGGCACCTTATAAATGTGCCGAGACAGCTCGTGATGACCACTGGGGTCTTGGTGTGTCACACTATCGCCGTCTTTTGGGTTTTTTTCCCTAACCTTTTAGCTTCTCATTTTTTT